GTATAAATTTTTTTTGATCATGGCTAGTTAAGAGTCCTATATGCCTCACTTATCTGTAAGTTAAATTCCTTTGCTCTGTTAGGGAAGTTTCCTGTCATTAATTCTGTGAACAGTTTTTTCATGTCATTTGTATTTTCCCCTTTTTCCTGGATTCCTATCTGTCTTATATTATTCTTCTTTGCATTGTCTAGGAGCTCCTGGATTGATTTCTCATGGTCCCTTACTATTTTTAAGAAATCTCTCTTTTCATGGACACTGACTATAATCCTATCTTCTACATCGGATATTCTGTCTTCACATTGGCTCATTCTGCTGTGAATACTTTCAATAGAGTTTCTAATCTCCTGGATATCTGTTTGAATCTGTTTCATGGTTTCCATTTCTTTCCTATGCTGGGGATTCATGGCTTCCAACATGGTCTGAGGTCATCTATTTTCATCTGTTTCTGCCTTGAGTCTCTAACCATGTCTTTCATTCTGTTCACCATCTCTGTAGTTATCTGGGAAATTATTTCCATTTTGAATTTTTCTAGAGCCTCATTCATCTGTTTTACTTCCTAGCTATCAGTTCAGGGTGTCCAGGTGGTTGATTATCAGATTTTTCCACCTCGTTTCCCCCAGATTTTGCCTTTGGTGAGCTGGATGTCTGGGTTTGTGCCTTTGTTTAGGTGTATCCTCATTTCTATTTTTGTTTTTGGTGCTGATTTTGGTTTAATTCCTGGGTTGATACTTCAATATTGCTTATTGTAAGTATCTTTGTTGCTTGTATTTAGAACCCTTACAGAATGATTGCTTCTCAGAGGTGTCTTCCAGATATAGCTGGTCTTTAGGTTTTGAGTCTCTAATGACTCTTAGGCAATCTTGTTTTCAGTATACCAGGAAGGACAACTGATTAGATCAATCACAACACCTTTGCCCAAGTGATATAATCAGCAACAACAATAGCATCACGCACAGCTTAGAGAATGACAATTTGTGGTAGCTATTAACCTATCACCTTTAACCGTGTGAATTAAATCAAAGTTGAGGACCAGCCCAAAATATGTGTATAGTGAATAAACTCTTCAATATAGCAACTTTACCCTTCAGGATGGGGACTTAGGAGTTAGGGAGGGAGGGATAGATAGGTAGGATAGGGAAAGGTTAGAAGTGAGGCCAGAGGACATAGGAAGATCAGGCAAACTCTAGGAAACTGTTGAAGATAAGAGGAAAAGACAGAATGAAAGAACAAAGACAAGAACAGAACAAACCAAGAGCAATAGGGAAGCTAGAAACTGTATTCACTTTCCTTTAAAACTAATGACAATTGAGAGAAGGAAAAAGAGAGAAGAAAAGAAAAAGAAAAAAATCCAAATTAGGACAGGAATAGGGACAAAAAAGGAGAGAGATGAAGAATAAGGTAGGAAAGAGAGAAAGTGAGAGAGAGGGAGAGAGGAAAAAAATTTGAAAAAAAAAGAAAAATTAAAAATAAGAGAGAAAAATAACTTTGAAAATAAAAAATAAAAATAAAGGGCCTCCTTCAGGGTATGTCTCTGCTGTCACAATAGACAATGTGGGCAGCAGTGTGCAGATCTGAGTCAATGAGTCTCAGCAAGCCAGCAGCTGTGCCGAGATTCAGGCAGATTTCTGGCTGCAAGTTCCAAGTTGAGCTCCCTGACCTCCTGCTGGGTTGAACTCTGCAAGGTTCTACTGCAGGTTCCAGTTGCCCTTCCCCTGAAGAGAGTCCAGGTTCTGATGGGAGGTGTGGATCCCTCCAACTTACCAAATATGGTGGTCTTGTGTGCCTTTATTGAAGATATTTTCTTCACCTTTCCAGGGGGCTTCAATTTTCATCAAGGAGCCTGAGAGAGGCCCTCTTTCTGTTGCTCACTTCTGCTCTATCTTCTGGAGCTCAGGACAGTGGCCCTTATGACCCCCTGCATCCCTGCGCTGTGGATCCAGTTACTGGCGCAGCCCAGCAGCCAGAGTGTGGGTGCCAGTGTGTGTGTGTATGTGTGTCCCTGCCTGGCTCCTTGGTGTGTGTGGGGGGGCAGTGCTACTGGTGGCCCTTGAAGCTCAGCTCCTGGCCTCTTGGCATCCTGGGGCGGTGGTGAGGGCAGCCTGGGCAGTTCAGCTCCTCGGCTCGTGGGTGGGGTGGGGTGGGGGGTGGAGGGGTGTGTAAGCTGGTGGTGCTACTGGCAGCCCATGCAGCTCAGCTGCTTGGTGCCTGGGGGCAGTGCTACTGGTGGCCCATGCAGCTCAGTTCCTCAGCTCCTCGGCACCCAGGGGCGGTGCTCTGAACTCACTTTTAAATTATCAGTATCCTTACAAAATAGTAGTTTCTGATCTTTTATATCAGTGATGGCGAATCTTTTAGGGATGAGGGCCCAAATTGCAACCCAAAACCCACTTATTTATTGCAAAGTGCCACCTCTGCAATTAAACCTGAATACTGAGGTTTTAGTTTAGGAAAAACAACTCTTATATTTAACATCTTTTGTCTTAAGAGAAAAACAACATGCCTGCCATAGGTTTGGCACCATTGTATTATATTATAGACCCCTTTGAGGATCTGATGACTGCTATGGACCCGTTGTGGATAGATCTGCCCTGAAGACAGCCTTCTATCATTTCAGGGTGTTCATGAACCTCCTGTGCTTATGTCAACCCACACTAAAAGGGGAACAAGTCTGGGTAAGGGACAGAGAGGTGATGAGTTCAGTTTGGACAGGCAGTTTGGGGTGCCCATGGAGGACAGGCAGAGGCGCCACTAGGTAGACAGGAACTGTCCTCTATCTCCTTGCCATAAGGACAGCCACTCCACACTCACTAACCACTGCTCTTGTTGACTGCTGGGCTATCCAAACTCATTCACTGTTGGTACAAGTCCACTTTGCTACACAACCTGGCTAAGGGCACCTCTGGGCCTCTCTGACTCTCCCCAAGCTTTTCCCCATCCTTCCTGAGTCACTCCAGGTTTCTGTCTTCCTGGTCCTAGGCCACACAGCCAGGTTACAGAAAATTATGAAACTGTGATGACCCGAGGCACTGAGCTGATTCTTTCTTACTGTGACAGGGCCCCTGACTGCCTCAAATCCAGTTCTTCATTTCTGCATGAATCTGTCTCAGATCTTCTCCACCCACCTTGAGGGCCTTGTCTGAGGAGCTCCTTTAATGTAATATGCAAGGCCCAGCCATGATTCCCTCTCCAAATGTACCTCCTTCTGGGTTCCTGTATTTTTTCAAACCTGGGCTTCTCTTCAGAATCTGCTTGTACTCCTTCCTGCTCATCCCCAAATCCGGTGGGTCACAAGCCTGTGATTTGTCCTGTGCAATCTCTCTCGCATCTGGCCTGGCCTCTCCTTCCTCAATGGCTCACTCCCGCATGTCACCCAAAGAACTTCACCAACTGCACAGTCTTCTCAGCACTGGAGTTCATGACCTGCCATTTTATCAAATGACTTGCCTGTTCAGAATTTTCAATCCTTTCCTGCTGATCAGAAGAAAACCTAAACTTCCTGGCTGAACAACACGTCTGGTCTAAGCAACCTTCCTAGGGTTGGCTCTGTCAAGCTCCTCACACAGCCCACTGCTCCTTCAGCTGGGATCCTGCCGCCCTGCACTCACGGACTCAAGTCCCACACCTCCAAAAGCCCTCCCTTGAAGGGTGCCTTCACTAAGTTTTCCAAATGATTCCTAAAACACGTTTCCCAGCTAAATTTTATGTAAATTCGCCTGCCTACTAGATTAGAAGCTTTTTCATAACAAGGTCCGTTCCTTATATATTTTTATATTTAACACAATATTAAACAGAGTAGGCATTCAATAAATGCTTTCTTTTAAATAAAAAGAAATGTAAAAATTATTTTTTTCTACGAGTGTCCATGTTAGCATTTTTTTCCCAGATGGGTACAAAGTACATGCTGTGCATTCATTAATGTTTTAGTTTCTAGTTTCTGGCTGGTACTTACTTCCTGGAGCACCTGGGCTAAAAACTCGTTTATTTGATGAGAAGAGAGATCTTTCAGGTCTGTGGCATTGAATGTATTTAAGTCCTCTTCTTTGGCCTAAAATAAATGTTACCTGGTTATTTCCATCCATGTATAATTTAATGGTATTTTTACATAAAAGTAAAAATAAAGAAATACATGGGTGAACATCATATGAAATAAATTTAAGCCTGAGCTACTTATATAATCCTGAGACTAAGTTACTGCTGATGATTCCTAAAATCTATGTTACATAAGAACAAGTAGACGATTGAAAAAGTAGACTATTAATAGTGAAGATGACAGTAAAAAACAGCCCCCCCACATCCTTTGTATCATTTCAGATACAGAGATTTCCAAAGCAAAGAAGTATCACAAAAAACATGCAACTAATTTATAGCCAAATTAAAAAATGTAAAGGATCAGATTACATATTCTTTTTAATATCACTCTAAAGGACTAGTAAGTCTTCAAAGTGATGTTTCACTCCATCTTCACACATTCTTTTTTTACCTTTCATCCTGGAAATCATCTAAGAAAAAGCTAACTAGGTCTGTACTTTTAAAATTAGGATTCACGGCCAAAAGTTTCTAGAATAGAATTAAGGAATATTAATTAAAGCTTATCAAGTAAGTACTTAAAATCTTTAAAAACTTATTTTAACGTCTTTGAACTAGAGGTTTAAAATTTGTCTTTTCTAAGATGGGCTCTGGCTATATTGCCCAAACTGGTCTCAAACTTGCAATCCTCCTGCTTCAGCCTCCCAAGTAGCTGGGACACAGGCATGCACCACCGTGCCTGGCTGAGGTTTCTTTTAAATTTAAAAGAAATGCACACAAATGTTTTAAAAAATCAAATAAGACAATGAAAAATTCCTTTGCTTTGTTCCCTAAGTCCTATTTCTCAGTAAGCAGTAATAACAGTTCCTGTATATCCTTAGAGAAAATTTAATGTATACATACTTTTAAAAAATATTTACTTTATACTTTCCCTTCAGAATTCTCTTGATTATCTCAACTTTCTTCCCCTTTAGAACTTCTCTGAAATACGATATTTAGCTGTATCTCATTCTTCGATTACAGGTAAGCAAATCTGAATCATTTATTAAGCGTATATTAGTATTGATAAAAACACAACAAGAGAATGACAAATCAAAATAAATATTCAGGATAAAGCTTACACTGATGATCAGGCAGGTAGATTGGGCAGTGGGTCACCTAATGGTCTGGCAAGGCTGTATTTTTAGGATTGTGATAGGGTACATAGGCACTGTTTTCCAGTTGATTGTTTTATACCTTATCAATGTCTTTTCTATTATATATTCTATTGCATTTCTTTAATATTTAAGAAAAACAAATGAGAAAGTACATAAATAGAAGAGAGCACTAGGGATCACCAGGCCCTCACTGTTCCCAACACTGCCAGCTCCTGCTGATGCCAGATGATTTATAATTACCCATCTTGGCTGTGAGGCCTGAAGGGATAGGTGAGCAGAAATCAATAGAGTTTTATTTAGCACCGGGCAAGCCAGAATGTATTTTTCAAATTAAAACAGAATATGTTAACACACTCACACTGTTAAGAAATGCTGTTTCTCAAATATCCCTCTTCCTTTTTTCCATGACACACTTGTGGACTACACACACACACACACACACACACACACACACACACACTAAAAAATGTTCCAGATACAGGTAGAAGAGCAAGGCACTACCTGAGGTAAGATGTGTTACCAGATTACTCCTTGGATAGAAATCATTAAGCCCGTCTAAATTATTTAGAAAGAGCACATAATTAAACCACTCCTCAATCAGAATTCAGTACCACTCCAGGCAAAGTATCCACAGTTAAGGTGCACAAATAACACAGCCAGGCAGTTCATCTTCACCAATCCTCAAAACTATGCTGCCAGATTAATGGTTCCAATGCACAATTCTGGTCATTTCATTTACAATGCAAAAACCTTTCAAATGCCCACTGCTGCCTGCAGATCATATGTTAAATTCTTTAGCCTGACGAGTTTATCTTCCCAATTATTTTCACTCTACTGATTCATGTATTCATCCAACAGTAAGTTAACATGGACAGATCTGGGGATACAGAGGGGAATTAAGACAATTTTTGCTCTCAGGGAAACAGAATAAATAAATACAGCAAAAGCTTTATTAAATACGCTGCAGTAAAACCAGACTCCCTGGAGAAACCAACAGTCCCTGTCCCCTCTGTGAAGTAAACTGCCTGACATCCAGGGGTGTGGACACCTGCAGGGGTGGGCTGTGCCCCAAGACCTGTGTCTCCACTTCCACCTGTTCGCCCTGAGCAGTTGGCCGAATGCATTCCCTGATGAGTTTATGTCAGCCACTATGAAATCTTAACAAAGAGGTGAACGGATGGAAGAGGAGTGCCGAAAAGAGGGAAAAAAAAGAAATTTCTGTAAGTAGTACTGTTTTGTTGTGGCTTTTAATAAAGACCTTTGTTTAAACACTGTCCCTTCCACTCAGAATGCCCCCTCCACCTCAGCCACACCCTCACCGCCCGCAGGCCCAGCTGGAACTTCCTGTCCAGCTCCCCACGGCAGCAAGAATGGCTTCTTCTGTTGACCTTCTGTGACCCCTTCTACATCTTTCTCAGGCTGCTGATCACTTCCTGCTTAGCATTACACTAATGCATGTATAAATCTGCTTTCTTTAATTAAACTATAGCCACTCCAAAGGTGAGTCTCTCTATATACCTTGGATCACTTGGGTCACAACACTGCTGAGAAATGCTGGTTGAGTAAAACATTCAAAACAAATTTCAAGCAGCAGCATCAGAATTTTTTGCAACTAATTGGTACAGAATTACTGCTGAATTTTCTCTTATTTCCTATTAAAGAATTATCCAGGGCACATCCTCACTCTGGTTTCTCTGAGAATTATGTTTGAAATGTGCATGTGCGTGTGTGTGAAAAGAGGGAAAGAGAGAGACTCTTTAGGAAGTTTCATAGAAATGAACAGTTAACAACAAGACAAAGTCTCTCAATTCTTCCCAGTGCTAGCGATTGGCATTAGCAGTTGTCAAAGACTGTTTTAGATTTACCTGGCACATCTAATTGTTATATTTGAAATAGTATCTTACAAATTTTTAATGAAAAGAAGTAAACTCCAAGTATTTTTGCATACCTTTTCTAAGAGTTGAAAAGAAGCAACCCCCTCCCCCAAAAAACAACCCCCCCAAGCCAGAATTAACACCACTGATTTTCCTTCCCATGAAACTTTATTTTATACACTGAGGGTAGAGACAGTATCAGCTAAGCTAGTAAACTGTATATTCAAAGAGCCTTTCTGAATATAACTGTTTACGATTGAGAGTACTCTCTATAGGAATAAACACAATTTGAAAAGGAGGCAAAAACTGCAGTTAATACTCACAGTAATCCATCTTTGACTCAAGGCAACGCAAGCGTTGGTCAGAGTCATATCATAACTGCAAAGACAGAAAATATTAAAGATTAAGTTTTATAAACATGCAGATGCTTTTGCATAAATGTAGATTTAAAGCTACCATACACACTTAAATTTCAAAGATCTTTTAAATAAAGATAAAGAACTCCAAAATGACAAACAGGAAATGTTTTGCCTCATTAGTTACTACTGGCCTCATTTAATTACTAGTCCAGGTGGACACACCGACATTGACACTCCCGACCGTCCTTCCGAGAGAATGGCAAGGTGTCTCAGCACAACTTGGTCACATGCTCGACATGTGACAAAGCCACTGGAATCCAGCGAACACCCTCGGTGCTCACTGGCAGGAAGAGTTCTAGGCATCCAAGTCAACAGGAGGAGCACGGATTTGACTTTGTGTTGTTCAAGCTATTTCATCATCCAACAAATCTGCAAGCACCTGCTAGGAAACAGGCACTGGTCTAGATGCTGGACTCTGATGGTCCAAAATCATTGTGTGAGTCCTTTCTTTTCAGAAAAATGTGGGATTAACACATTGTAATTATTAAGCAAAGCACGTTGTACCAACAGGTGCCTGTTCTCAACTCAGAAAATAAATGGCGCACGTTGCAACAATGGAAGAGAATGTAATGTGTGCAAACTTGTGAATCGTTCCTTTGTCCACAAGTCAGACATGTGTGCTGTGAAACATCTATACTAGAGGATAAAAAGGCACCTCTCCCCCAGGGCCTAAGCGAAGTAGTTTTGATGTGAAGTCATCACTGAACCTGCTTGCAACAGAGTTGTAACTGGGCTCCTTGTTTGCTCTTCAGGGGAGTGGAGAGGGCTCAACACACCTCCCTCCTCTGAGGCAGCAGCCGGTCTCTCTTCAGGAGGTGGTCGGTCTGTGGACGTCGTGTGTCTGCCTCCAGAACAACTGGGATCAGAGGGCCGTGACTGCCCGTCTGCTGGGATATTACTCAGCACTGATTTCAACAACAGGACAGTGAGAAACCTTTGGCTGATAAGTTGCTTAGTGTCCTGAAACTTCCTTCACAGTGTAATTAAAAGTTAAGGATGAGCCCAGGGAAAAGAAGCAACCCTATTTACAGTAAAGTCTAAGAAAAGTCATGTGGAAAACCAGATTTGAGACTTGTTTGCAGGGTGCTTATACTGTAGCGCAGCAAAAGATTTTCAGTTACATGGAGTAATGTAAAGTTACAAGTGTGGTCCCCAGTATGAAGCTGACACACAGCATCGAAAACTCCTGAACAGGAGATCTGACCTGGTCAGAGGTCAAGAAATGCTTCCATGAGGAAATGGTTCTTGAGCTGAGACTGTGACCCAGAGGAGAGAATATGTTTAGGTACAGAGAAGTGTGAAGAGTTTAAGAGACCTCAAAACTGCCAGTCCCACTGAAGTACAGGAAGCAGCATCAGGATCCTTGTAGTGCCCATCAAAGCAGCATCCCCAACCTTTTTGGCACCAGGGACTGGTCTTGTGGAAGACAATGTTTTCACAGAGGAGAGTGGGACGAAGGGGCAGGGATAGTTTTGAGAAGATTTGAAGGAGCACTGAGATCCCCCATCTACATAGTTCACAGTAGCGTTCGTGCTCCTATGAGAATCTAACACCTGACAGGAGGCAGAGCCCAGGCTGTAAGATGAGCAGTGGGGAGCAGCTGTGAATACAGATGAAGCTTCACTTGCTTACCCACTGCTCACCTCCTGCCGTGTGGCCTGGACTCTAACAGGCCATGGATGGGTACCAGGCTGTGGCCTGGGGACTGGGGACTCCTGCATTAAAGGACATGGCCCTGTCCAAGACCAGTGGGATGCCAGTGAAGACGGCTAAGCAGGGGCAGGCGTGATCCATCTGGCCTTCCGAAGGTCTGCTTTAGCTTTGTCTGGAGAATGGGGGAGAGGGACAGAAGGATGCAAGTATGTAACTTGGAGGCCAGAGCACTCTTCCAGGAGGAAGGGGAGATGTGAGACTGAACCTGAGTGGTGGCGGGGGTGGAAATACTTAAATATGTATAAAAAATGAGAATGCTATGAAAACTGGAGGACTTAGAAGCCAACCTTCCATGCTGAAAAGGATCAAAGTATTTTCTGTGGTGTGCAGTTTTTAAAGAATCTCTTTAGGGTCCCTGGACATATGAATGATTCCGGGTTCTCCCAGAAGCAACCTTTAGGGATCTGGAATGAACAGAGGCCCCAAATCGATCCCTTAGCAGCAATACCAGAGAAAAGCCTTCTAAGCACTCATTTTTCGGCCATATTTCTTTAATTTCACATCAATGGTCAAAGGCTTACTTACTCCTTAGCTTTCTGCAACTATCTTTTGCTCCAAGCAGACCACTGAAATTAGTCTCAGAAGAGTCTTAGCCTTAAGTTCCATGTTTTGCGTCTCAGATCCCCTCACCCCCTGTAACTGTACAGCACACTACATTGCTGACCACTCCACCACTTTTAAACTACTCCCTGCTACAGCCTCCTTAACAATGGACTGACCTCCACACTAGCTCTCAGGTGGGGATCCACTAGGGTTCTAAACTTTACTTCCTCTTTTTTATTCCTCTTTCTTATTTACTGCTGGGTTGATGTCCACATCTATAGTTTCCTCACCCGTAGCATTTAATAGATATTTTAAAAAATATTTCCATGGCACTATAATTACGTGATACCTCTGTATTTGCTCTATGGGTTCCTCAATCATCATTAGAAGCTGCCACTCAATAAATGTGCAATGGAGTGGACGAAGTCTTTATACATATTCGCCCAGTCGTTTCAATTCCTTCTTTGCCCACTGTGGTCAGTCAGTTACCAACAGATTCTGCCTCTCAGTTCCTTCTTGCTATTCTCACTGCTCCTGCATTACCTCAGGCCCTCATTATCTCTGGTAAGGTTGTGGTTAAGAATTAAAGGGATCATGTACACAGTGGGACTTCTTAAACTATGAAGTGCTAGAAAAATATAAAAGCATTATTTTGGTGATTTCTTTTTAGACAGTAAATAAGTTTCTTGATAATCTGTGCCATCTGCCTGTTACCAAAACAAAATGTGAGACAATACCGTTGAAATCACGTTTCCCTAACATCTGAGCTCCTGACCCCACCGTGGTTTACAACCCCCAGGACCGCGTGGCTAACTCGGGCTCTGACCCCGCCTCTTCCGGGCCACAGCTCTCAATATCTTCTTGACCAAACTCTTCCAAGCCTGGCCACTCAGGTGCTGCACAAAGAAATCACAACATCTTTTTTTCTACCTCATTCTCTGCTGCTGCCCCGTACATCAGTTACAAGGGGCTGTTTGGTGTAAGAGCAGCTGGTAAGCTGTTTCAGTGATCCAAAGGGAAGCAACAAGAAGCAGATGCCAAATCCTCCCGGGATTCATAAGGACCAGAGAGCATTCAGAACCTTGATTTGGGGAAGCTCTGCTCTTTAAAAGGCAGCATACTGGGCCGGAGATTTAGCTCAGTGGTTTCACCACCTGCTGCGCAAGCGCAAGGACCTGAGTTTGATCCCCGGTACCAAAAAAAAAAAAAAGAAATAAAATAAAATAAAAGGCAGCACACTGAAGGGTATGACTGTCAGGGCTTGAAGCTCAACCCTTACCACTTACAAGATAGGAAACCTTGGAAAAGACACTTTATCTAGCTCAACCTAATATGCTTCCTCTGGAAATGAAGATAATAATTTATCACACTGTTGTGATGATTACCGCAATACTTATGCTTTTTCTTAGCCCAGGGTGGTGGTGCACACCTGTAATCCCAGCACTTTGGAAGGCTGAGGCAGGAGGACTGCAAGCTTGAACATAGCCTGGGCAATTTTGGAAGACCCTGTGTCAAAATTAAAAATAAAAGGCTGGGGATATATAGCTCAATGAAAAGGCCATGGGTTCAATTCCCAGTACCAAGAGGAAAAAAAAAAGCTTTTTCTTTTTGAGACAGAATCTTGCTATGTTGCCCAGGCTGGTCTCTAACTTTTGGGTACAAGTGCTCTTCCTGCCAGGCCTCCCGAATATGTAAATGGGACTACAGGCACATGCCACCACACCTGGCTCAAAATGTTACTTTACTGAATGCAAAAGTTTTAAGGAAGGAACAATAACATTCTCAGTATCTGACTATCTTTGTGCAGAAAGAGGGACTCAATAACTACTGGTAATGAATTGAACATTCGTTTTCATAAATCATGGAAATCATTCTTTTGGTCTCAGGGATAAGGTCCAAATCACTAA